TGTAAATGGGTAGAAAAAAAATTAAAAAAAAACTGTCGATTCCGAGTTCTATCGCCTCGTCGTGTTAAAGGATAAGAAATGTCGATAATGCAACAAACGTGTCAAGTTGTTCTTTTTCAATTTTCAAAGTCGCGAAATATCTTTAAATCTGACCAAAAGCCTAATATCACTGTACGATAAACCTGCAGAGGTGTTGTGAAAATGTTTATTAAACATTTTATTTATATAACTTCATGGAAAAATGTTGGAATATAGTCAATACATACCTAAAACTAAACAATTGATTAAAAATCATTTTTATTTAAAAAAAAATTTAAATTCTATTTTAAAATCGTAAATAGTTCTGCAAAATTTGATTTCCTACGGAAATTTATTTTAAACTCTAGGTGCTCTATAATCAGGAGAGTAATAAGTTACTATTTTTGATGTAACTGGTATTTTCGAATCTAATATTATATCCATGTAAATCTACCTTTAATTAAAAATTACACTTATTCTTAACAATATACACAAGTAATTCAAAAATATATACCGAAGATAAAGTTAAAATATTTAGCCTTTAGCATAAAAAGCAATCATTTTTAACAGTAGTTTACACTTTACTTTCTTTGTCAATGTTTTACCTTTCATCGGCAATTGATTGAGTTACTGCATCACTTAAATAAGGTTACAATATAGGTAGATTAGATTCTAGTGCATACAATTATAAACCACATACCTAATCGTTCAATGAATTATTTGTATTTTAGTCCAATTATCTGGTTGCGATTGATGGAAAGACAAAAATGAATAATCATTCGTACTTGTGAAATATTGAAAGAAACATAAAAAGCGATCCTAAACAATTCTGGAGCTAGATGAATTTTAAAAATTCCTCATTTTCCGTACCAACATCAGTCGAGTATAATGACTGCTTTATTGTTTAGGCTTTTGCAGACAATTTTTTCAATATTTTTTCCCAAATAACAACTGCCAACTATACTAGCTACTAAATAAAATTTAAAAAAAGAAAATCGACTCACAAACAGAAGAGAAAATGGTACTGATCTAATTTTGCCTTTGCCTATTTATATATAGATTAATTATAGGTAATCTTTTTGGACGTTTTTGTAATAAATAGTTTTCTTTATTATGATTTAATAAGAATAATTATAACTAAAATCATTTGAATAACATTTAATTTTAACAATTGTTCGTTAAATAGCTATAAAAATTTGTTTACATTTAAATTGACCGCCCGAATCGACTAGAATTATGATGTGCACTAAAGCTGCTTGAGTTGTCAGCTAGAACAATTAATATAGATAAAACAAAATATATAGCTTTCTCTTGTCGAAATAATAACAGACCCCAATATAGTTCTTTACATATAGGACCAAATCTTCAAATAGCAGAGGTAAAAACAATTAAATATTTGGGCATTGAAATTGATAATAACTTAAACTGGAAAACTCATGTCAAACAACTATTAAAAAAATTACGATATATTTTATTTAAATTTAAAAAATTAGCAGGTATTCTCAACTATAAAAATCTCAAAACGATTTACTATTCCTTAGTTTAATCGCATATTCAATATGGAATAACGGCATAGGGAGGAATATATAAAACAAACTTAAAAAGGCTAGTAATTATTTAAAAAACCTTTCTTAAAATAATGAGTAATAAAAAACGAACTTACCCAACTGAGGCCTTATTTCAAGATACAGGTATTTTTGACATTCGACAACTACAATGTTGCAAAATGCTCATCTTACAAGAAAAAAATAAAAACTCCTTACAAATGATAAAACATTCATATAATACACGATATAAAAACAAAGCCTCTATAGCGACAATGAAAGACAATAAAAAACTAGGACAACGGTCGCTTAGTTATATATCACATCGACTATACATGTTATTACCTGATAATATAAGACAAATTAAGAAAACACACCTTTTTACTTTCCTATCTGTATACAGATATAAGGAAAGTATAGGAATCATGATTTTTTTCGACCTCGAGTTTTCGACGGATTTTTACGTTTTGAGGTCCCCTGAATCCGTTTTGACTATTTTCGCGATGATGTCTGTGTCTGCGTCTGCGTCTGCGTCTGCGTCTGCGTCTGCGTCTGCGTCTGCGTCTGCGTCTGCGTCTGCGTCTGCGTCTGCGTCTGCGTCTGCGTCTGCGTCTGCGTCTGCGTCTGCGTCTGCGTCTGCGTCTGCGTCTGCGTCTGCGTCTGCGTCTGCGTCTGCGTCTGCGTCTGCGTCTGCGTCTGCGTCTGCGTCTGCGTCTGCGTCTGCGTCTGCGTCTGCGTCTGCGTCTGCGTCTGCGTCTGCGTCTGCGTCTGCGTCTGCGTCTGCGTCTGCGTCTGCGTCTGCGTCTGCGTCTGCGTCTGCGTCTGCGTCTGCGTCTGCGTCTGCGTCTGCGTCTGCGTCTGCGTCTGCGTCTGCGTCTGCGTCTGCGTCTGCGTCTGCGTCTGCGTCTGCGTCTGCGTCTGCGTCTGCGTCTGCGTCTGCGTCTGCGTCTGCGTCTGCGTCTGCGTCTGCGTCTGCGTCTGCGTCTGCGTCTGCGTCTGCGTCTGCGTCTGCGTCTGCGTCTGCGTCTGCGTCTGCTTCTGCGTCTTCGTCTGCGTGTGCGTGTGCGTGTGGGTGTGCGTGTGCGTGTGCGTGTGCGTGTGCGTGTGCGTGTGCGTGTGTGTGTGTGTGTGTGTGTGTGTGTGTGTGTGTGTGTGTGTGTGTGTGTGTGTGTGTGTGTGTGTGTGTGTGTGTGTGTGTCTGTATGTCGCATAACTCATGAACCGATACACAGAAAAACACCAAATTTTAAACTTAAGCTTTATTCCAGCGTCCAATGAACTAATTAGATTTTTGGCAGAGTCGGAACATTTGGGGGGGTACTTTATAGGTGGTCATTTTTATATTTTATGAAATATATCTGTTATTTACGTTTTGAGAAGAAAATTTTATGAATAAAAGTTACTTATAATATTATTATTTATAATTTTTGTTTTATACAAAATTTTCCTAAAATGGTCCGTATTCGAGAAATTTGACAAAATGTAAAAAAAATAATTTATAATAAAAATTATTCAAATACAAGTTGTTTGAAATATAATTCTCTATAATTTCTGTTTTATACATAATTTCTCCAAAATGGACCGTATTCGAGATATTTGAGAAAATGTGTAAACTTAGAATTTTGTACAAGTAGTTACTAAATAGGTGAGAAATTTTAGCACACCCACCAAAATTTTAAATATTAAGTATAACTAGTAGAGCCTCCACCAATTTTTTAAATTTGTTATTGCTGGAAGAATGCAATCCTTAGGAATATTTAATATGGCAGAGAAAAATAAAGAAACTACCTGCCTAAAAGCAAGACTTTCGTTTTCGGAACACTATATATAACACAATAGGAAATATTTATTATTCATTGCATAAAGTTTAAACTTAAGCTTTATTCCAGCATCTAATGAACTGATTAGATTTTGGGCAGAGTCGGAACATCTGGGGGGTACTTTATAGGTAGTCATTTTTATATTTTATGGAATATATCTGTTATTTACGTTTGGAGAAGAAAATTGTTTAAATAAAAGTTACTTCTAATATTATTTATGATTTTTGTTTTATGTCAAAATTTCCTGAAATTTGACAAAATGTGCAAAATTCTGATTTTTATGAAAATTGTTGAACTAAAAGTTGTTTGCGATATCGATCTCTATAATTTTTGTTTATACATGATTTTTATAAAATGGACCGTAATGGAAAAGTGCTAAATTTAAATTTTTCAGTATTTTCGTTTTCAATGAATATCTATAGAAAAATGTTTCGAGGTAGATGTATGTGGACAATGTATATATTTAGTTTATCATCTAAACATTTATAGAGATGCTGCAATAGGTTGTACAAAATAACCGGAAAAGCCTATAATAACTAGATAGGAAAGTCATGTGTTGGACACATCAATTGACTTAAATTTGTACCATATACATATTTTTTACTAATTTTCGTATAACTTTTTGTATTGCAGATAGTAATAAACATTTCGTGTATTGTTCGCATTTAGTGAATTTAAAAGCGTCATTACTACCACTGATAAATGCCAGCGGGGATTTTTTGGAACTATTTATTGAGAATTCGGGACTTCCTCAAAAATTAGTCTGGCTCAAGAATATAATATATTCTTGGACAAAAACCGTTCGAGTTCTTTATTATAGAACTCGAACGGTTTTTGCGTCACATTCCGTCATTTAGCATAGCATTACTCATTGTATATGGCTGTTGCGTGCTTAGCAAGAATATTTTTCGACGTTCTACGATTTTTTTAAATTGTATTGTGCTTGCAGCTTCCAATATTGTTGCTGTGTGTACAAGAGTTTTATACAAAGCCCTAGGAAAGTTCGATTAATGATTGGCGCATTTAAAAAGTTTGTTCGGTCGTAACTAATTAAATATTTTAACAAAAAATGTAATCTAATTATTTTATTGAATTCGCATATTATGCTTATTTTAGATAGTATTGTATTAACAATGACTTTGAGTGAGATCAAAGAAAATTCCGAAAAAGTTTTATGCTCATAAGTACAAGAACAGAATTTCAATCGTGGATTCGACCCGGCAAAAGCGTCTATAATACTCGAAAATAGGACTGTAACGCCACATTTTCAAATAAATAGCCTAATTTTGTCGCAAAAAGTTTAGTTTAAGACGAGATAATGTTGTGTTAAGGTATATATTGTCAAAATAAATTAGTAAATAAGTATTTATTACATAAATTAGCGTTGTAAATTAAGTTAATAAATAAATTAGGGAATATAGTGTAAATAAATTATAAAATATACTGTTTAAAATAAATAAACACTATAATATGTTTTAAATGTTTGAGATAACACTTGTGTTCGACGATAAGACCGTATCACGAAAAGGCGCTATACGCTAGTCCTTTACAGTTTGACTTCATGGTGCGATGGTGGTAGGGGGTAAAGCCCTTATACACTTAGAATTACGGTGTCTTATCAATTTGCATACCAAATGATTTTCATTACAGCAAGGTCGATTGGCCATATTATGTATTCAGTTTCCATATACGGCAAAACGGAATATTTAGGATCAGCATCTGCGGTTTTTAGTAAAGCTCCAGCTAATTTCTTCGGCGCTGTTATAATAATAATAAGCTTTATTGCCCAACAAAATAAATTAGGACAAATATCAGAATAATATCATTATTTTATATCAATAATAAAGTCTAATAATATATAAATAACCTAAACCATGAAATATAAATAAAAATATTTAAAAATTAGAAATACAAAAAGATAAAAGAAAAAATAATTAATAAAACATGGTACATTTGAACTATTAATAATAAATACTTTTAATAAGACCTTTTTACTTTCCTGTCTGTATACTCGATAACTCATGAATGAATACAGATAAAAACACCAAATTTTAAACTTATCCTTTAATCCATCATGCAGTGAACTGACTAGGTTTTGGGCATATTTGGATCATCTGGGGTACTTTATAGGGGGTCGTTTTTCTACTTTATATATCTTTCATTTACGCTTGGAGAAGAAAATTCTTCAAATCTAAGTTGCTTGTAATATTATTCTCTATAATTTATCCCATACATAATTTTCCTAAAATAGTTCGTATTCGAGAAATTTGACAAAAATTGCAAATTTCAAATCTACAAAAAAGAGTTCTGAACAAGAAATGAAATCAGTAATATTGTTGATAAAGAATAAAAAAGTAGGGGTCCTAAATTAGATCCTTGAGGCACCCCTGACGTAACGAAAGATAGGTTTGATGAGAAGCCATTATAGGTTACATACTGTTTTCTTAATAATAAATAGAAAATAAAAAAACATATGCAATGGTTTTGAAAAATCGACCTTATTTAATTTGTTTGCAATTATTATAGTTAGTTATCTAACTGCAAAAAGTGGCACGTCGTGTTTTTGCTTGCTATTTGTAATTGGTAACAGGAGAGGATAGTAAACAACATGTACTATGTCCCGGTGATGGGAGCAGTCGTGTGACATGTTAAATTCAAAGTAAAGTTGCTTATCGATTTTTCGTTTTTTGCTGGCAATGAAATATATGCTTCTAGACTTCTATAACAATAAAAAAAAACCCTTCGAAAGTATTTTCTGTCATCCGGTTTTGCTATTTTCGGTGTAGGGATTTGGGCCACGTGACCGGATATTTACGTTTTTTAACAAAATTCAGGATTTAGGTTAAATGTGTTTTTTCTGAATCTAAAATTATATTGCAAGCATTTTTTGTGTGGGCAAAAAAAATTTACAACTTGGCGAAATGTTTAAAATCCGAACCAAAACTCAAAAAACAGTTTAATTGCTTTCAAAATGTTTGCATGGTTCTGAAATAAGAATATTGCCCTAAAACATATTTTTTATTCAATAGTTCTACCCCATTCACTTCGGGTTTTTGGACAAAATGTCAAAATAGTATAATTTATGGCGAATGGGGTAAAATAAAAAATTCTTACAGAGGCAATACTCTTATTTGAGAGTCATACAAATATTTTGAGAGTAATTAAACCACTGTTTAACTTTTAATTTTGCATCTGTTTAAAAAAAGGTCTCTTTTCGTCAAGTGACAATTTTTTTCATTTTAACCCTTTCGCCGACACAAAAAAATTAGATTCAGGAAAAACGCGTTAAGGTTATACCCAAATTTCGTTCAAAAACGTAAATATCCGGTCATTTGGCCGAAATCCCTACACCGAAAGTAGTAAAACTGAACGAGAGAAAATGCTAGCAAATTGATTTTTTTTATTATTATAAACGTCTAAAAATATATAATTCATTATTCATTGCCAACAAAAAACGAAAAAAATGTATCAATAAGCAACTTTACTTTGGATCTGATACGTCGCACGACAGCTCCCACCACTGGAACATAGTACACGTTGTTGATTCCGGTCCCCTGTACCCAACTACAAATAGCAAGCAAAAAACACGACATGCCACTTTTTGCAGTCAGATAAGAGACTTACATGGTCAACCTTATCGTAAGCTTTTTCAAAATCAGTTAAAACAACATCCTCTTGTCCACAGTGATCGAATATTTTATGTAAAAATTGTGAGAGGCAAGATAAATTTGTTAAAGTAGATCTATTTGCCATGAAACATTGCTGACTATCTTATATTGCGATTAATTATACTTTTGGGAGTTTCAATAAAAATTGTGATGGAATATTTGGAATATTTGCAATATTTCTGTAAAGATATTAGTTAAACTTTTTGGAAAATCACAAAATTTTTTTTGGCATATTAGGGGAGACGTGTCGAAAGTAACAGGTGTCAAATGTATCAATCCTATTAGTATAAGAGCACAATGCAAATTTCGACCGTCATGTGATAACGAAATGAAATATGTTCCAAAGGCATGTAACAACATTGTACTTTACTAAATTGCACCTGTGCCAATCCCTATCCAAAGCAAAGTGGTTGAAAAAATTTATTTTATATTCAAAAAATCACATAAAACATGACAGCGACAATTATGTTTTCCCTAAAAATTACAATCCTAAATCATGGTGAACCTAGCTTTTAAACCTGAATTATTAATATTTTTACCTTCCTTTTAAACCATGTTTATGTATGAAAGGAAGAAGGATGGAATTATATAAACCATTTGCAGAGATAGTCAATAATAATTATAAACTCTTGTAAGACAATTATTTTAAACCATAATCATAGTAGTTTTTTTGTCGTTTCTATGTCAACCTGTAAAAATGAATCACAACAATAGGCATACAAATAAATTTTTAAATCCTCAAACATTGATTCATATTTTTAATGAAACTTACCTACTAATCGTGGATAGATGTTTTTGTGCGATGTTAAGAGGAAGAAAATGTTTCCCTTTAACGATATATATCAAGATATATTTGAATAATATTTTCTGGAAAACTTTAAGGGCAAACAAAATTAGCGCTGTCATGCCTTATGTGATTTTTTTAATATAAAATAATTTTTTTAAGCCACTTTAAGCCATGTTACCTTATACCGGTTCGTAAAAAAAATGCGCAATAATGGAGAATTTAAAGTAGGATATAATCCATACAACAAAGTTTTTAACACTGATCAAGAGCTGCAGCTTGTCAAATATTGTGAAAAGTCAGTAGATTTATATTTCGGTCTTAGAAAACTTGCATATATTTATGCTCAAACAAATCGGTTACGTTATCCTGCGAATTGGGACACAACAGAACTTGCTTCTGAAGATTTGTTAAGAGCATTTTTAAGAAGAAATTCACAACTTTCTTTACGAACGGCAGAAGCAACAAGCTTTTCGCGTGCAATGAATTTCAACAAAGAAAATGTTTCCACCTTTTTTGATAAGCTTTCAGAAGTTCTTGAAAGTTTTGAGCCGCAATATATATATATATATATATATATATATATATATATATATATATATATATATATATATATATATATATATATAACATTGATGAGTCAGGGGTTATGACAGTGCAAAAACCATCTAAAGTTATTGCCAAAAAAGGAACAGGTTGAGGCTATTACGTCACAGGAACGTGGAACTCTAGTCACTATGTGCCTGGCCATAAATGCTGTTGGTAATACAGTCCCACCAATGTTTGTCTTCCCAAGAAAAAAAATTCATTATTATTTTGTCAGAGGTTGACAGGTTGGCTGTGTAGGTAGTGCAAATAAGTCGGGCTGGATACAAGAGGTGGATTTTTTTATATTTATGACCCACTTCGTAAAACATACCAAACCTAGCGCCACTAATTAGTTCTACTCGATAACATAACCAGTTCCCATTTATCCATTCCACTAATAGATTATTGTAGGGACGCTGCTGTAATTTCTACCCCACACGTCTCACAGGCTTCAGCCGTTAGATCGGGGCGTATTTGGTCATTTTAAAAAATATTTTAACAATGCAGGAGACTGGTGGAAGAAAAAAAATCCTGTCAAACGGATGAAAATATATGACCTGCTTTCGATAGGTAGAGAATCCCTTCCTCTAGCAACCACTCCAAAAAATATTATGTCTGGATTTTCTTGTACTGGAATCTACCCTTATAATCACGAGATTTTTGATGAAGGTGATTTTTCCCCATCCAACGTTACCGACAGACCTTTGGACCATGAGCCTGAAATAGAAAATTCAATAAATGACAAGTCTGACTATGAACATCCTACCAAGACCGGATCTTTGGTTGAAGTTGAACTTGGCAAAGATATGTATAGAAATAATAGTTCCGGAAAGTCTATTAATGAGACCAGTTGTTCTAGAACATCGCATTTTAACTCAGAAACGCCAATGACAATCATATTGCCTAAATCCATAAAACCTTATCCAAAAGGTGACTTCAAGAAACCGAAAAAGGGAGGTAGAGCGAAAGGAAAAACTGCGATATTGACTGGCACTCCCGAAAAGTTGAAATTGAGAAACGAAACCCTAAAAAATGTTTCTCTGAAGGAACTCTCAGAAATAAAACCTATCGAAAAGAAAAACAAAGGGAAGATGGCCATAAGAAAAAACGATTTAGCAACGAAAACCAGCGAAATGGATTTGGACTCGGAAGACGAGGAAACCTTTTGCTTAGTTTGTTTTGAAGTCTATTCTTCAAGTGTAGTTACAATGTCATGTGTGCAAGCAGTGGGCTCATTTGAGTTGCACAAACAAAAATGCCTTCTATGTTTGCGTCAATTGTGAATCCGACGATGACCTAGACTATAATAATGCCTGTTTTTGAACATAAATCTTATGTTTTGAGAAATAATTTTTATTTTTATTAGCTTTATAAATATTTTTTTTTCGGTTTTTATTAAAGTTTTTTTTAATTATTTATTTATTTATTTTTGATCGGTATTTTGTTGTCTAGTTACGTTACAAATGACACCACCTTTGGTACAATCGACACCAATGTGGTGTCACTTGTAACATGGGTTCCTTTGATATATGGACCTGTAAAAAGTAGTGGGACCTAAAAATAATAGTTTCAAAAATAAGATATGAAAGAAGGTATAAGAAGGTATTTTATTTAACACCTTAAAAAAGTTTAAATTATTTTTAAATATATACTCTTAACAAAAAAAAAATATTTTAATTTTTGTTACAATTGATACTCTAAATTAGATTTTCTGTTAT